GCACGGTTATGGCGATGGCCGGACCTTCATAAGAACGAGTTGAAACAAGTCAAGTACTGCCAGTTTGCCTTTGACCTGAAGTGTGACAGCGTGTGTGTGAACCCTTACCATTACGAGAGAGTCGTGTCTCCAGGAATAGGTCCGTTTGATGTTCATTTTAATAGCGTGAAGCTCATTCACGATGGCCTCGATTTAAGCCAACTTATCCTGTGTTTTCTTCCAGACTTATCCGGACTCACACTGTCAGGCTCTGGTGAGTGATATTCTATTGAAAAATAATTGGTTTTCCAAATTAAAAGGGATAATTCACCCAGAAATGAAAATTTACCTGCCCTCATGTTGTTCCAAACCTGTATGAGCTTCTATCTTGTGTGGAACATAAAAAAGATATTTTGAAGAAAGTTGGTAACCAAGCAGGTGATGGTCACTATTGACTTCCATAGTAGTTTTTTCCCCATACTATGGGAGTCAATGGGGATCATCTACTGTATCTATAAATATCTATAAAGACATGCGTACGGGTTTGGAACAACATGAGGGAGAGCAAATGATGACTGAATTTTTATTTTTGGGGGAAATGTCCCTTTAAGGGCACAGACAGTAGCAGATGTATTAGGCTGCTGTCACTTTAAGACCTACTATTATGTATATAAACCCATTTTTAATTTACATACAAATATACAGTGCTTAACAAATTTATTAGACCATCATCACCACCCAAAGTAAGGTTTGTGCTGCTGCTGCCCTAATATAATTACTGTTGTTACCCATGAATTTTCTAATTGACTGTTTAACAAGAAAGGCAGAAAAAATAGTAAAGCACTTTATTATTATTATTTAATTCAGATGCCCAATTAAAGTCAACAACAGTGACTGTGGAAAAGTACATAAAACCAGTGCAGCAAGAATGCAAGCTGTTATCAAGGCTAAAGGCCATGCAAAATATTACATTTTTTGGTTGTTATGTGTGAATAAAAACTATTTAGTTGTTTCAATTAGCTATTTGCCTAATAAATGACAATACAGTTTTTAGTTTTAAACTGTTTTTGACAGATTCCTAAAATATTTGTTTTCTCTTTAATAAAATTAAGCACAAACTGTATTGACTGTGATTGGGCATCTGAATAAAAAAAATTATAAAACCGTAAATTTGAGAATTCATGGATACAGCAATTATATTTTAGCATTAGAATCAGTACTGTGACTTAAGAGCTTTCACGCACTGGAGGATTTACCATTACAGAAACATAAAAAATGATTTTGGTAATCACCAATACTGTTAGTTTAGGGCAGGTGTGGTACGAACCTTATATTACAACCTTACTAAGCACTGTATATACACAAATATGTATATATAAATACTATACATATATGCGTGCGTGTGTGTATAGCAGGTTTATTAGACTGCTGTCACTTTAAGACCCAAAATTGTGTGTTTTTTTTGCACTGATCCAATTTACTGACACATCCGATATTCTAATAACCCAACTGTTCATGTTCATTTAAGACATAACCGACTGTGTTTACGTGAATACTCACCAAAACTGACATTTCAACATAATTGTGTGTGCATTTGCCCATTCAAGTGCGATAAGAACTTCGCTTTTATTCGTCGATGCAAAGGTCAATAGATTTTTGTTATAAATTCTGTCATTTAAAATTTTTAATTTTTTTTTAGTTATCGTCTCATTTTTGTCTCTGGAAAAAATGTTGTTGATGAAAACTGACGAAAATTCAATTTGAAGAGTCAAAGAAATTCATACTGTTGTGAATTCTCCTAAAGAGTCAAAAAAGTGCAGTCAGCATGTAATGACTTGCCTCCCGTCTGAAATGACCATCGGTGACCGTTTTTAGCATCCAGATGCATCAGATGCGGGTTCATTTTGGCGTGCTGTAATGTGTATGTCTACGTGATTGTTTGCAGGTCCGTCGGGTCTGATGGTGAAGGATGAGTATGATTATGAAGGCCAGCAGTCTCTTCCCAGCTCTGAGGGACACATGCAGACGATTCAACACCCTCCCTCTCGACCGATGGCCCCGGAGCCCTTCAACACGCCCGTCATGCTCCCGCCAGCAGAGGGCAGCGGCTCGGCCTCCACCTCCGCCTTCTCCAGCATCGCGGTGGGATCCGCAAGTACGACACGACACAGTCCCTCCCCCGTATCCTCAAACGCATAGGCCATGCTGAAAAGCTTTCTCGTTTGTGGAAGCGTTGTATTCTCGATTGGTGTTTAATAGGGCTGGGCACCGTAGAGCTTCTGCTGTAGCGTTTGTACCTTTACGTTATTTACACACCAGAACGACACGGAAACGAGCTAATGCGAAAACACTGAGTGGGACGTGTTGAGCAGCTTCCTGTAGATGTGAATGTGCAAATCCATATGTGACTCTGGAGCACAAAACCAGTCGCTGGGGGATATTTGTAGCAATAGCCAACAATACATTGTATGGGTCACAATTATAGATTTTTCTTTTATGCCAAAAATCATTAGGATATTAAGTAAAGATCATGTTCCATGAAGATATTTAGTAAATGTCCTACCGTAAATATATCAAAACTTCATTTTTGATTAGTAATATGCATTGCTACAAACTTCATTTGAACAACTTTAAAGATGATGTTCTCAATATTTAGATTTTTTTGCACCCTCAGATTCCAGATTTTCAAATATTGTTCTATCCTAACAAACCATACATCAATGGAAAGCTTATTCGTTCAGCTTTCAGATGATGCATAAATCTCAATTTCGAAAAATTGACCCTTATGACTGGTTTTGTGGTCCAGGGTCACATATGCAAATGTATTTCTGTGCATTTACACTGCACTGAAGGCATACATTTGATCAGTTCATGCAATCCCTGGGAATCGAACTCGTGAGCTTCTCGTTGCTACCGAATATAGATATATATATATATATATATATGTTGTAAGGTATAAAACATAAATGCACCAAATGCATCTATGCATCAAAAAACAACTATTATTAGTGATGCACCATAATCAAAAACGCAGAAAGCTGTCATTAAAGTTTTGGTTTAGCTAAAAAACTAAGTTTAATTAATATTCAATTCATTCAGTTTTTATATCAGCTTTTTAATGATATTTTAATTAATTGAAATACTGTTGTTGAAGCATTTAACAGTGGCTGTAATAAAACTTGTTCACGACAGATTTATTCAAACATACATTAGGTTAAGATTAAAATATGAGTATGTAGTGTTTTTGTGTATGTGTTATACTAAATTATGTACATTTACATTTTAATTAAACCTAACCGTATGTATGTAACAATATAATATAATAACATAAAACACATCCATTTAGCCAAAAACCGAAAACAAAATGTATTTATTAATTGGATATATTTTGATTAAATATAATTTAACACCCAAATAAAAAATTAGTTCTATATAAAATTAAAATTTCACATTTTTACATCAACACATTTGCACATTTCATTAATTTGTTTTAAATGTTTCATTATTTCACATTAAAGAGCGACAAAACCACATTTATTTTGTTTCTTGTGTGTTTCATATCAAAAGTGAAAAAGCACAAAGCTTAATGCGATAATTTGATGGTAGGCATGCAGTAATTAATGTTGAGTGAAGTTTTGTTAATGCATCAACAGAAAACAGCACAGACTAAAAGATCTCGCTTCATCAGAATGACAAATCTACATGAATTCAGTCCTAGCGTTCACACAGCTGGCTTGTTTACCTGTTGTAGTTTATCCACGTTGTGTGCATGCAATTAAACCTGATTTTAGCTCTCCAAAACGGTTTCAGTTGGCAGGATTTTAGTGCATCGCTATATATTATGATTTGTATCGATGCCGTGATATTAAATCGCTCGTACAGTGATGCACGCTTGTGGTGTGTGCTGATGTGTGCACGGGTCAAAGACGAAAAAGGGTTTAAGCATAAAAACAATAAGTGTAATACTGCTTTAAATTGTTGTTGTTTTCCCCCAAAAAATTTAAAAAGTTTTCTGTTTAATTTAATTGCAATTTTGTTTTTGTTTTTCTGAGCAAAAAATAAATATCATACATTTTTTTCCCCTAATTTACAGAAGAGACCCAGAAAAATGTCATTCAGTGTAACAATCGTGTCAGGCATATTTACCACAAAAATCAATTTATGACACATTAAACGACTAATTACTTTAACCCCAAGTACTAATTAGTTTACACTTTTTAATTTTGCCACTATCCTAAGTTTTGCCCATTTGTCAGTAAGATTTTTTTACTCCTTTAAAACACAATTAAATTTAATATGCTCCCTTATCATTTTATATATTTTAATATGTACACAGCAGAATAAGCATGTTTGAATTTTTACATAAATATTGTGTTGCACTGAACGACAATGTAACATTATTTCAACCAAATTTTGACATTTTGTTTATTTGGAACCTTAAAAGTAGACACTGCACTTACATTTAATGTGCTTTCTATGGACATTTAATGATGCGGACATCTTACCGTCTTTGACCCGCATGCCGCCCTCTCTCCCCAGCTCAGCCCAATAGCGTTCTCTCAGGAAGCCACAGCAGCGATGGTCTGCTGCAGATTGCCTCGGGGACGGGGCAGGGCTCACAGCAGAATGGCTTCCCCCCCGGCCAGCCCTCCACGTACCATCACAGTAAGCCATCAGTGAACCTCCACCCAGCAGCTCCACCTAGAGTCCGAAAGCTTTTCAGCATCTCCTGCATTCAGTATCCAGAGCACGAGTAAACCTGATGTCCGGTGTCAGACGTGCACTCTCTGCTCTTCTGTCCACAGACACCAGCTCCAGCTGGACGAGGAACAGTAACTTCACCCCCACTGTGCCTCACCATCAGAACGGCCATCTACAGCATCACCCGCCCATGACCCATCCAGCACACTACTGTGAGTGTCTCACCTCAGCCGGAACATAGCATAGAAACACACTGAGCTCCAGTCTAGAGCTTCACAAACGGCCTTCTGGATGTTATAATGAAGAAGGTGCAAGAGGCTGCGGCGTCACGTCTAAAGCCTGTTGTTAGACACAAAAGCAGAGTGACTATATTAGGAAACATTACAATTCGGAAAAATTTTAATACAAAAAAATAAAGGCACAGATTTTCTGGAAAAAAAAACAAACAGTTTATAGGGCCCTATTATTGTTAAATACAAAAAAAAAACTAAACAGTTATAGGGTGCTATTACTGTTAAAAAAAATAATAATTTAATACAGAGGGGGGGAAAAAATCAAGTTGTTTTTTTTATGAATTCAATTCGTTGCACACATGATTTTTGATTATTTAAATTCAATTAAACCATTCAAATGGAATCCAGGAAAATTTAAACGGAAAACACAGAATTTGGTAAAAATAAAACTGAATTTGAAGAGAGAAAAAAAGTATTCATAAGGCTCTAAAAATTTCTTTTTTTAATTAAACTTTTAACTAATTTATTAGTTAAATAGTATGTTTGATGATTTCAATTAACTATACATGTTTTTTTATTTTTAAAATTGAATTTAAATGGAGTCCAAAAATAATAAACGGGGGAAAAATTGTATTAAAATAGAATTTGAAGACATAAATATAATGGAATTTGGGGAAAAGTTAAATGGATTTTAATAATCGCCACCCATCACAGAAAGGAGACAAAGAACATTATCAAGTTTTATATATATATACATATTTTTGTTTTGTTTATTGCTTTCTTTAACCCTTTAACTGTCACTCACATTTTTAAACACAGACGTGAAAGTGCACTATCCAAACTTACATTTTTATCATTCATGAATGAAAACATTTTGTAACATGATTTTGATGTACCATTTTCATGGTAATGCAATGCCTGAAGTCTTAGACCTTTCCAACGATATATAGCTTGTCATGATTAGATTATGATTTAATTGTAATCTAGTGAAGTAAACTTCAGAGGGGACGGGTGACAAGAGGTTAAACGTGTCATTATCGTACCAGCAAAATAATATTGATCAACTTCTAATTTGTATGTAGTGAGATATTAGTACATAAACCAATTTCAATATGTATTTATTTTTGCTGTAACAGTTGTCTGGAGTTTTCCTCAACAGTAGCATATGCAACAAGGGATAACATATACACTTATGATTATCTACAAAACATGTATATATTGAATAAAGCATGTCTTAATTATTTTAAGCTTAAATACTTTCAGTGGTGTGTAAAGTACCTGAAAGCCATACTCAAGTAAAAATACAGATATCTTACCAGAAAATGACTTGAAGTCACCGTTTAGAATATTACTCGAGTAACAGTCTTAAAGTATGTGATATTTATTGTACTTAAGTACGAAAAGTATTTTTTAAATCTTAAACGTACTTAAGTATTGAAAGTAAAAGTACAAGTAAATGCAAAATGGAGAAGAAGCAAATAAATATATATATATATATAAATGTTCATACACAGCTTGAGTAGCAAGATTGTGTTCAGTTTTAACTCTTTCTTCCATTTAGTATTTTTGGGTAAGAATAAGAAGCACTTCATCTGGTACTTGCCTGTTTTCAGACTGCACATCGGGAAGGGCGTCCAGCTGGAGTGTAAAGGCGAAGGCGATGTTTGGGTTCGCTGTCTGAGCGATCACGCCGTCTTCGTCCAGAGCTACTACTTGGATCGTGAAGCTGGCCGCGCTCCTGGAGACGCCGTGCACAAGATCTACCCCAGCGCATACATCAAGGTTAGAACGAGAGGGATGTCAAGCTTGACAGAGAGGTTTAGGATTTTGAAAAATTAAATGTTTGTTAGGATAGGACAATATTTGGCCGAGATGCAACTATTTGAAAATCTGGAATCTGAGGGTGCAAAAAAATCTAAATATTGAGAAAATCATCTTTAAAGTTGTTCAAATGAAGTTCTTAGCAATGCATATTACTAATCAAACATTAAGTTTTGATATATTTATGGTAGGAAATGTATAAAATATCTTGATGGAACATGATCTTTACTTAATATCCTAATGATTTTTGGCATAAAAGAGAAATGTATAATTGTGACCCATACAATGTATTGTTGGCTATTGCTACAAATATCCCCCAGCGACTCAACACTGCTTTTGTGCTGCAGGGACACACATATATTTTTAGTTACTTTAGCATCAAGTTGAACTAAATGAAATTAAGACCTGACCAGCTGAAATAAGTTTAAGGTTCTGTTTTTTTATTTAATTTTGAGTTAAAGATCATTTTATGTCGCCAAACAGGCGCCTTTGCATTTCCTTTCTAAACAATCTTCTGCCATGGTCTTGTCTTTCTCAGCTCACTCTCGTCAGTCAGCTGGACTCGCTCTCCTCACGTGATAAATAATAATGCCGTAATAAATGCCGCGGTAGGTAACTGAAAACACTGTCTATCGCAGCAAGCCTAATCTGGAGGCAGCTGACAATCCTCAGACAAGTTTTGATGGCATTTTTGCTTTCATCTTTGGATCGCGGAAAATACAAACGACTCGTTTCAGCGGTTAAGAGTCGACTCTTTTTATTTTATTTATTTTTTTTTTTGAGAGAGAGAGAGACTAACTTTATTTATGATGCACTTTTAGCTTTACAACTTTGCACACTGTTTGCATTCACATTACACACATCATGAAAGCTCATTTTGAAAAACTCTTTAAATTGCAGATTTTAATAGCATAGACATTGGTGTTGTTTTAAAACAAAGTAGCTGCCTAAACAAGTGTGGCTCTGTAGTAATGTCAGAGTCTTCCAGACTGATTTCTGCTGTCGGAAGCTTGTTTCTGCCACGGAATAAAGAAAATAAAGGAAATTGAGACTTTGAATGGAACTCTGACTGTTTTCTTGCAGTTGCGCGTTTTTATCTCACAATTTGCCTTGAATAATTATAATATTAATATAATTGTATCAAGTATACTAAATGTCTTTCCATAAATTAAACTTTCTCTGAAGTCCTGAAGCGGGTTGCCATATACTGTATATATTTTTTTTTAATTTAAGTTTAAGTTCTAGTAATTTTGTCTGTTTTTGTAATTTTTATTATTTTGATGTTTTTTATTACTTTTATTCTTTATATTTGTAAATATATGTATATAGCTTTTAATAATGTTAATTTTAGTGTCTTTAGTACATCAAGTTGAACAAAATTAAATTCAGACATTTTTAAAATAAACAAACTGAAATAATATATTTTATTTCAAGTAACTAATTTTGAATGTTTTTTTTAGTTTCGGATTTAGTTAACAGTACTGACACTGGTATCAGATTATCCGTTAAAAAGGGTCTGTGCCTTCCTCAATCTTAACAAGTTCTTTAAACTCAAAAATTATGTTTTTTACTTGTGGATCCAAGATCAGTAAGCTAAGCTTTTTTAAGCCATTACATTATAGAGATGTAGTAGTTTCTTTAACTTGTGTATCAGTTTGTGAAAAGGTTATATATGTGTATATACTAACACGAACACACTTGACATTGCGCATCTGAAGTTGAAGCCGCAGCTCCTGCTCTGTCCTGCAGGTGTTTGATCTGCGTCAGTGCCACAGACAGATGCAGCAGCAGGCGGCGACGGCACAAGCAGCGGCGGCCGCTCAAGCAGCAGCGGTGGCCGGAAACATCCCCGGCCCCGGATCCGTGGGAGGAATCGCTCCTGCTATCAGTAAGTGCTCCTAATGTTCACACTCCTGAAGTTTGCCATACTTGGAAATACAGTCATATAGTCTCGAACCTGTTAGTTCGTTTGAGTTTCCCTCTTTTCTTCGCTTGTAAAAGTGCCGTGCGCATTTTACTTTCACTTTCGAATTCAAGCAACAACAACGTCAAACTCATAGAACTTTTATTAACAAAACGAATAAAAATACACCATATATGCCTAATAAAATAACAAATTACTTAGGCTACACAAAGTTTAAATGGGTATATAAAACTGAAAATCAGCAAACACTGTGGAACCAAATAAATCAGAAACACAGAACGTTTATTAGCAAAACGAATAAGAAAGCTTGGAGGCACGGCATGTACACCTTGATGTAAAATAAAATACACAAAGTTTAAATAAAGTAATTAGCAAACACTATGGAACCAAATAAATAAGAAACGAATGTTTAAATAAACTTCCAGTCAATAGGCTTTTCAAAATCTAAAATATTGCCAAACAGGCGCCTTTGCATTTCCTTTCTAAACAATCTTCTGCCATGGTCTTGTCTTTCTCAGCTCACTCTCGTCAGTCAGCTGGACTCGCTCTCCTCACGTGATAAATAATAATGCCGTAATAAATGCCGCGGTAGGTAACTGAAAACACTGTCTATCGCAGCAAGCCTAATCTGGAGGCAGCTGACAATCCTCAGACAAGTTTTGATGGCATTTTTGCTTTCATCTTTGGATCGCGGAAAATACAAACGACTCGTTTCAGCGGTTAAGAGTCGACTCTTTTTATTTTATTTATTTTTTTTTTTGAGAGAGAGAGAGACTAACTTTATTTATGATGCACTTTTAGCTTTACAACTTTGCACACTGTTTGCATTCACATTACACACATCATGAAAGCTCATTTTGAAAAACTCTTTAAATTGCAGATTTTAATAGCATAGACATTGGTGTTGTTTTAAAACAAAGTAGCTGCCTAAACAAGTGTGGCTCTGTAGTAATGTCAGAGTCTTCCAGACTGATTTCTGCTGCAGTAGTATTATGTACGGAAGCTTGTTTCTGCCACGGAATAAAGAAAATAAAGGAAATTGAGACTTTGAATGGAACTCTGACTGTTTTCTTGCAGTTGCGCGTTTTTATCTCACAATTTACTGACTTTTTCCTGCAGAATTGCAAGTTTATATTTAGCAATTGCAAGTTATGCATTTGAAATTATTGCTATTTTTTTATTATTTATTTTTAAATCTTGAATTTATATCTCAAATTGATAATTACCCCCCCTAATTACAATTCTGGCCCCCCCAGAATTCTTAGCTTACATATCGCAATGTTTATTTTTCTCAGAATAATGAGTTTATATCATCTTTTTTGACAGATTAAAAAAAAAAAAAAAGTGACTTGCAACTTATCTTTAAAATCTTGTTTTTTGTTATGTTGTGAATTTATCTCTCTCCGTTCTGACTTTTTTCCTCAGAATTGTGTTTTTATAAAAGTTTACATCTTGCAATTTTTTACTTTTTTCTCAGAATTAAAAATAAAAAAAATGCGCAATCACCTTTGTACTTTTTAATTGCATGGTGGAATCCAGCTTCCATAGTTCTGAATCTGTTTCGGTGTAAAGTGCATGATGTGGTCACGTGTTATCATGGACTCACTCGATGTCAATCGCTCGTGTAGGTTTGTCTGCGGCCGCTGGCATCGGTGTGGACGACCTCCGCCGGCTCTGCATCCTGCGCATGAGCTTCGTCAAGGGCTGGGGTCCCGATTACCCCCGACAGAGCATCAAAGAGACGCCCTGCTGGATCGAGATCCACCTGCACCGCGCGCTGCAGCTGCTGGACGAGGTCCTGCACACCATGCCCATCGCCGACCCCACGCCGCTGGACTGAGATCAGACACTGGACCTGACAAACCCAGTACCGCCGAACGATGCAGAGAGACCAACGGGGTTCAGAGGTCAACGTCACGGCTGCGTTTATTTCATTTGCTTCTTTTTTTGCATGTGTTGCTTTTGTTTCCTAACATTCGGACCTTGAAGTGCACAGGACCCAGTGTTGTAGTAACCAAACCGATCATCTAAAGCTTCACAAGTGTTCTGCATGAAGATGATGTGCGTGTTTGCCAGCTCTGCAGAGGTGCATGCTGGGATTCAGTTGAGCTGTTTAAATGAATCTGTTCTTAGGGATGCTGTTGCTTCACTAGCCACTAGAGTCCCCCATCGTGTCAATCAGACTGTCTAATTTCAGATTGCCTTTTTTTCTCATCATCTCTTAATGCAAACCAGAGTCTCTCGGGCCAAACGTTTAAAAGCTGTCATGTGCAGTGGTCTGGAAGTACGACGGCTGGAATAAAAACATCACAATAATCCACAAATAATCCACAGCACTCCAGTCCATCAGTTAATGTCTTGTGAAGCCAAAATCTTAAAAGTTTAGAGCTGTTTTGGCTTGATCTGTGCAGATTTCTCTCCTGATTCAGACTAGAACACTTTTTCACTGGAGGAAGTGTTATTATGGATTATGGACTCT